GTAATGATGTACTCATCCTCCATTTTGTGGTCCGATGTGGTCATCTTCCACTTTCACATAACAACAATTCTGCATAATGACCTGGTTTTTGGAACCTAACCATGTCGATAAGCAAGGAGAGGGTGTAGTACATATTACTAACAATAAGATGTAAAAAAAAAACCAGACGGTTGTAAGTATAGTTCAACATAACTCAAATGTCTTAAGTCGGGGACTACATGTACTGCATTAGTTATCTATGCTGCATGACAAATTACACCCAAACTTTAGTGGCTTAAAATAACAAACATTTACTATCTCACAGTTTCGACAGATCAGAAATCCGGCACTGCTAAGCTGGCTGCCTGACTCAGAGTGTCTCATAAGGCTGCAATCAAGCTGCCACTGGGGATGGCAGTCATCTCAAGGCTAGCTTGGGGGGAAGATCTGTTTCCAAGTTCATGTACATGGCTGTTGGCAAGTTTCAGAAGATCTGCTTCCAAGAGCCTCTCCACAGCACTGACTCACAACATGGCAACTGGGTTCCCCCAGGATGAGTGGATCCAAGAGATAGCAAGAGGAACGCTCAAGACACAGCCAATCATTTTATAACATCTTGGAAGTGACATCTCATCACTTCTGCCATATTCTATTCATTAGAAGGGAGTCATGAAGTCCAGCCAACACTCAACATGTGCAGATTACACAGGTGTGAATATCAGGAGACAAGGATCATTGGGAGGCATTTTAGAGTCTGCATACCACTGCTATTTATGGATCTCCTCCGTCCTTTTGAGGCTTACTCTTAAAGTCTTTTAGGGAAGATTTCTAACAGCATTTACTAGGGCTGTTTAGTTCTACTTTAAGGTGTGGCCCCTCAGGAGCCTCTAATGAATGTCCTATGTATTCAAAGAGGTTTCCCCACGGTGCCTCTAGTCTCAATCAAAGCATTAAGTCTGGTCTTTTACCAGAATTTGAGTTCTGCACCCCACTTTTCCCCTCCTCCATCAGGGACTCTCTGTTGTGTTCCCTGTCAGGGCAGTCATTGGTGGTAGCCGGGCACCATCTATTTCTTCTGGTCTCAGGCTGATGAAGTCTCTGGTTTATGTGGCCCTTTCTGCCTCTTGGGCTAATACTTTCCTTGTGTCTTTAATGTTATTCATTCTCCTTTGCTCCAGGTGGGTTGGGACCAATTGATGCATCTTATATGGCTGCTCACTAGCTTTTAAGACCCCAGATGCCACTCACCAAAGTGAGATATTATTTTCTTAATAAACTGTTATGCCAATTTACCTAGATGTCCCCTGAAACTATGATACCCAGTCCACCACCCTTGCTACTGTCCCTCGAAGTGTTTGGTTGTGTTCAGGAAACAGCTTTAGTTTAGTCCAGCTGTGCTGACTTCTCCTGTATTGTGTGTTATCCTTCCCTTCACCTAAGATAATTCTAGTCTACTATCTAGCTAGTGAATACCCCTCTCCCTCCCTCCCTCCCTACCCTCGTAACTATCAAACAATGTTTTCTTCTGTGTTTAAACCTTTTCTTGAGTTCTTATAATAGTGGTCTTATACAATATTTGCCCTTTTGCGACTAATTTCACTCAGCGTAATACCTTCCAGATTCCTCCACGTTATGTTTCATGGATTCATCATTATTCTTTATCGTCGTGTGATATTCCATTGTGTGAATATATTACCATAATTTGTTTCTCGATTCGTCTGCTGATGGGCACCTAGGTTGTTTCCATCTTTTTGCTATTGTGAATGGCGCTGCAATGAACATGGGTGTGCATATATCTATTCGTGTGATGGCTCTTATTTCTCTAGGATATATTCTAAGGAGCACGATTGCTGGATTGTATGGTACTTCTATTTCTAGCTTTTTAAGGAAGCACCAAATCAATTTCCAAAGTGGTTGTACCATTTTACATTCCTACCAATAGTGTATAAGTATTCCAGTCTCTCCACAACCTCCTCAACACTTATTATTTTGTGTTTTTTGGATTAATGCTAGCCTTGTTGGGGTGAGATGGTATCTCATTGTAGTTTTGATTTGCATTTCTCTAATGGCTACTGATCATGAACATTTCCTCATGTGTCTGTTAGCCACCTGAATATCTTCTTTGGTGAAGTGCCTGTTCATATCCTTTGCCTATTTTTTAAGTGGGTTATTTGTCTTTTTGTTGTTGAGGTTTTGCAGTACCTTGTAGATTTTAGAGATTAGATGCTGATAGGATTTCACAAAGCTCTTTTAGCTCTGCCAGTAAGTGCCCAGAGGCAACCCACTCCACCAATAAACCTCTGCCGAGAGGCACTCAGTGTTCTCACTCCTTGGGCTGGGAAGCCCACTGCACTGTTTCCTGCTGCCGTTTCTCTGCCACCACTTCTTGCCATCTTCAGTGTTACAGCTCTCCCTCCCTGTCTCTCTCTCTTGGTCTTGGTCTCCCGGTTCCAGGAGCTTCTCAGCGCAGGGGTCTCAGGTCCAAGAGACACACTCCATTGTTGGCTCTTCTTCCTCAGTAGTGGTGAGATCCTCTCCTTTCCGCCTCTGGAAAGGCTCATTTTAAGCTTTGTGGGATGGCAAAACTGACCAATCCCTTTGGTGGGCCACAATTACCTTATTTGCACCATCCTGCCCAATCACTTGGGTAGGAGTTACAAGAGCATCACGAGAAAGAACACACAAAAGCGATCCATCATACTGCACACTCCCTCATAGTCAGAAGGGGAATTCTCACAGGGACTTTTGAAGAATTAACAATTCCAATCATGCGCCCTATCAAGAGGATGAGACCTGGGAATCTATCTGTTTAGAAACTCTCCATGTCATTTTTATTTACACCTGGGTTTGAGAAGCACTGTACCAACTAATAAAGTACTAAAAAGCTGAGTGTGGCTTGTAATTGTTAGATTGATCAAGTCATAGCGATGAGAGTTTTCATCTTCTGTGTTTAGAAAGATTTACAAAGTGAAGCCTGGTTCATAAAACTTCAAGGAACCATCACTTACTGGACAAACACTACTTAGAGAAATTTAGCATTATTTGAAATTTATTATATTTTGTCCCTTTATTTTGCTTTTATTTATGTCTTTAGAAAATTTCTGAATAATAGAGAGCATATAAAAAGCATTAAATCTGTAAATGGAATATGGAATTCCTCTTGCCTTCCTTTTAAATTAACAACATAATATCTTCTATATAATTGTAAATGCAAAGCCACTAACCTGCAGTATTATAAATGCAGAGGGAGCATGATTTTACTCTAAACTTCACAAAGAGAAAAAGCGAAAAAGTTCTCTCACAAAACACATGGCCAATAGTTAACAGCAGAAGTCTCCACTCAAAAAGAAAATGCTCCCAAGCCCTATTATTTTAGGGGAAGAGGTAAGGCCAGGGCTACATCACAGGGTGCTAAGTTTCAGGCTATTCTTCTTTTGGCTACTCTCACCTATATGGAAATACTCCACCTCAGCTGCTCTTTTCCAAAAGTGAGTTTATATCAAGAACACAAAGAGAATGTCACGTGGGCACTACAGAACAAAAACTCTACCCTGCTTCTGGTCTGCATTTCCACACAACAAGGATTAGTAATGCCCTGTGCCAGACTGTCATAAAATGGGCCCCAGTGAATCATACTTCTCTGAATTTATGCCTGGCATAGAACTCTCTCTCTCACATTGACTCCTCGCTGGCCTTATGACTTGTCTGCACCAAAAGAATGGGATGGAAGTGGTGTTGTGCAAGTTCCAAGCCTAGGTCTTAAGAGGCTCTGTTAACTTCCACTTTCACTCTCTTGGAAACTTAAGACACCATGCCGTGAAGCAGTTTGAGATGAAGATGACATAGAGAAAGAGGCCCAGCCATCCCAGCTGAGCTTAGGCCCAGCCCACCCTTGGGCTGAGTGCAGCTGAGGAGTAAGCCCAGGCAAAGCTAGCAAAGAACTGCCCAGTCAACCCAAAGAAACACAAGAAATAATAAACTACTGCTGCTTTAAGCATTAAATTTCAAGTGGTTTGCTATGTATAAAAGGCTGAGACATGCCAACATGTCCACTTACAGAAATATCTTAGTACATTGGTTAACATCATAGTCTCTGAACCCACACTGCCTATTTCAAATCACTTTTCAACTGTATGACCCTGAGCAAATTACTTAACTTTTCTGCAGGGCTTTGAACTGGTTCAAACTAGTTTAGACCCAAATTGCTACACTTTGGGTGTTCCAGGACAATAACTGGAATGAGAAAAATTACAGGTCAAAGCTCTGGAATGAGAGACTCGTAAGAGGCGCAGTAAGCCCTTTCAGGAGCCTGATGCATGAAACTGGGTTATTGGGAGGGCTGTGAAGAGCAACACACATTCAAAGCTCCAACCAGTTATTACCATTAGTACCACCTTCATCTTTGAGCATAGCACCGCTGTTTCTGGCTCTACTCAAAATCCCATGGGCAAGAGACTTCGTTGCTAGGCAATGAGTACACTGCTCTTACTTTCTAAGAGGGAGATTAAATTTCCAGCAGGTCTTCCACCCATAATTTTTCCCTTCCTGGTTTCTGTTCTGGTTCACCCAAATTTTTAAAATTCGGGTCTGTTCCAGTTTTGCATCCAAGGCCATGACTGAACCAGGAAGAACCGGTTTGAAACCCTGCTTTTCTGGCCCAATTTTCCACATCTGAAAACTAGCGGTAATAAAAGTACCTAACACCCAGTGGGGTGGTGATTAGGATTTAATGATTAACATTATAAAGTATTTGGAACAGTAAATCGCATGTATTAAGTGTTTGTTAACTGTTATCTATCATTATTATTACAGTTTATCAGAAGAATAGCACAATTTACTTTTATACATTTTATCTCAATTAAGGATATTCAAAGTATCTTAGGAAGCAAATCCCAAATACATTCTTCACAAGGTAGTCATTTTCCCACCTGACATATGTGTGAATGACTCTGAAAAACAGGACTTAACCTATAGATTCTGCCTCCCCTCCCCTCAAGCTTCCCATGGTCACAGGCACTTACCTGCATAGGGGATACAGCTGCTGCAGGGGGCGTTTTCATAGGACTTGGACTCAGAGGCGTTCGAGGAATTGCAGCTGCAGTAGGATTTGGTACTGCACAAGCAACAAATAAACAAGTAAATCATGAATGCATCATAGTACAGTGAGAGCTTTCTTAACTGATCTCCACTTAATGATTCACCAGTTAACCACTGCTCTCTGTTCCGCTGGAAACCATCAGGACTATGCCTACCCTATGCTGAACATTCAGTTACGCCCTGGCCTCCGGGTGCTTCCACTTCCACCACTAAATCCTCTGTTTCCACATAAAGTAATCATGTCATTTCCAACCCTGGCTATGCTGTCATTTTTGCTATTTAATTACATTATAAGGAACCCTGGTGGCACAGTGGTTAAAGCACGTGGCTGTAACCAAAAGATCAGTGGTTCAAACCCACCAGCTGCTCCCCAGGAGAAAGATGTGGCAGTCCGCTTCCGTAAACATTTACAGCCTTGGAAACTCTATTTACAAAAAAAAAACAAAACAAAATGGTATTCTGGATAAGAACTTTGTGGTCCATGAATAAGACATTTTAAATTGGAGGATAATGTCTAACTGCCCTCCAAAATGTCTACACTAATATACATTCCTACCAACAGTGTATGAGTGTATGAGTGACTTTTGATCTGCTTTTCAGTCAAAGAAAATGGATTTGTGTATAAGATACAGATCATAGAAAATTTTACTATTGTTAGAATGAATTACCAAAATGACTGTCCTGAGACAATCTTTAAATCTTAAACTAAAAAATATCCCCTGAAGTCTTCTCAAAACGAAACAAGAGTTTAGATTAACTAATAAACAATGTCTACCTTCAGCATTATGCTCTTTTAAGAACTATCTATGTGGGATCAAACTGACAGCAGCAACTCGAAAGATTAGAAAGGAAACTTAGGGGGCAGTGAGTTTATGTTAATGAGGGAGGAACAACTCAGAAAAAGATGGTGAGAATGGTTACACAACTTGAAGAATGTAATCAAAGTCAATAAATTGTACATGTAGAAGCTGTTGAATGTTCTACTGTGTATACTGTCAACAATAACAACAAAAAATAAAATACGTTAAAAAAAAGAATGAGTTAGAATAAAACTTGTTAGAAAGTTTAAAGAATTTATAAATGAAAAAATTTATCTTTAGGACATATTAGAATCAACTGTTTAAAAAATCTACATCTCTTTCCCTTGCCTACAACTAAGATTAGAGATGAAAAGGAGCGAGCAATTTGATAGGGAGGGGGCTCCAAGACAGAGAGAGGAGCATGTGTAAAACAGCTTGGCTGGTTCAGAAACTAACGTGTTTGGGGAGGTTGGGGTGGGGAAGTGGCTCAACTGAGGTGAGAGGCAGGCAGAGGTTAGACCCCACTGACAAAGTGAAGGAGGATCTTAATTTCATTCAAGCTCTAATAAAGCAATTAAGGAATTTTAAACAAGAAAACAGGAAGATTTGTTGGGAGGTTCTGAAATTTCTAGTTGATGGTGGCTTGAACAAGAGAGAGTGCATTACTGGAAAGAAGAACGAGTCAAGATAAATATTTCAGAGGCTGGAACAGGTGGGTTTGCTGATGTATTCAATGTGGGAGTGAGGAAGATGAAGGATTTAATGAAGATTCCTAGACTTCTGGCTTTAGTAGCAGGCAGAACAGTGCTGCCATCTACTGAGGGACCAGAGTGTGGTTTGGGATGTATAAGATGTCTATGAGACACTTGACTGCTCATGTAAAGCAGGCATCTGGATATATGACACTGGAGGAGTTAGAAGAGGGGAAGAGCTGGAGTTATATGTCTGGAAGTTATCACGCATATAGAAGAGACTTGAAAGTCATGGTAATGTCTTTCTCTATTAAGTATAATGTTGGCTGTTGGCCTTTCATGTATGTCCTGAATCATAGTGAGGAAGTTCCCATCTATCTATTCCAATATTCTTGAGAGATTTCATCAACAAAGGGTGTTGGATTTTGTCAAATGCTTTTTCTGCATCCACAGAAATGATCATGTGGTTCTCTTCCTTTGTTCTAATGATGTGGTGTATTACATTGACTGATTTTCTAATGTTGAACCATCCTTGTTTATTCCTGGAAGAAAGTCCACTTCGTTATCGTGTATCACTCTTTTAATATACTGCTGATTCTGTTTGCTAGTATTTTTTTGAGAATTCTTACATCTATATTTGTAAGAGATATTGGCCTATAGTTTTCCTTTCTTGTGGTGTTTTTGTCTGGTTTTGCTATGAGGGTTATGTTTGCGTCACAGAATGAACTTGGTAGTATTTCCTTCCTTCTCTGTCTTTTGGAAGAGTTTAAACAGTATTGGTGTCAATTCTTCCCTAAATGTTTGGGAGACTCTGCCAGTGAAGCGATTTAGTCCAGGGCTCACTTTGTTGGGAAGTTTCTGATCACTGATTCAATCTCTTCACTTGTTAAGAGTCTGCTGAGACTTTCTATTTCCTCTTGAGTCAGTCTGGGAATGGTGTGTGCTTCTAAGAATTTGCCCATTTTATCTAGGTTATCCAGTATGTTGCTGTACAGTTGCTCATAACATTCTGCCAAAATTCTCTTTATTTCTATCGGGTCACTTGTAATGTCCCTTCTTTCATTTCTTATTTTGGTTATTTGGATCTTTTCTCTTTCTCATTGTCAGTCTAGCTAAAGGTTTGTCAATTTTATTAATCTTTTTGAAGAACCAACCTCTGCTTTTACTGATTCCATTGTTTTTCTGTTTTATTTATTTATGCTCTGATCTTTGTTATTTTCTTTCTTTTGGTAGATTTATGGTTAGTTTCCTCTTGTCTTTCTAGTTCCAAGAGGTGTTGACTTAGGCTATTGATTTCTTTTTTATTTTCATAAAGGCATTTATTGCTATAACTTTCCCTCTGAGTACTGCCTTTGCTGTATTCCATAAGTATTGGTATGTTGTGCTTTCATTTCCATTTGACTCTAAGAAATTTGTGATTTCTCTTTTAATTTCTTCCTAGTTTAATAGCGTGTTGTTTACTTTCCATGTTTTGGTATTTTCCAGTTTTTGTTTTCTTTTTTTCCTGTTATTGATTTCTAGCGTCACTAACTTGTGGTCAGAGAAAATACTCTGTATGATTTTAATCTTTTAAAATTTATTAAGGCATCCTTTCTGACCTAACATGTAGTCTACCCTACAGAATGATCCATGTGTATTAGAGAAGAATGTCTATTGTGCTGTTGTCGTATGGAGTGTTCTTTAAATGTTTGTTAAGTCTAGTTGATTTACTAAATCATTCAGGTCTTCTAATTCCTTGTTGATCTTCTTTCTACATGTTCTGTTCAATATGGAAAGTGGTGTACTAAAGTTTCCAACTACTACTGCAGTGCTATCTATTTCTCCTTCAATTCTATCATTATTTGCTTTATACATTTAGGTGCTCTGACATTGGGTGCATATATATTTATAACTGTTAAATCATCTTGATTAATTGACCCTTTTAATCACAACATAATGTCCATTTTTATCTCTTCTAACATATTTTTTCTTTTTTTTTAATCGTAATTTAGATGAAGGTTTACAGAACAAAGTGTTTCTCATTAAAACAGTCACTACATATATTGTTTTACAACATTGGTTAACTACCCCACGACATGTCAACACTCTCCCTTCTTGAACTTGGAGGATTTTCTTTTTTTTTGGTGAAAATATACATAGCCAAAGTTACACCATGTCAAAAGTTTCTACATGCACAATTCAGTGACATCAACTACAGTCTTCCGGTTGTGCTGCTATTCTCACTAACCTTTTTAAATTATTCCATCACTATTATCTTCCACTAACTGCCCCCTAGGCATCCCGTCAAATGTTCTGAATTGCTGTTGTCAATTTCATCTCTCACAGATAATTTCTTTATTTTTGTACCTTCGATGAAGGTTTACAATCCCACTACCTGTCAACACTATCCTCACTGAACCTTGGGTTCCCTATCACCAGCTTTCCTGTCCCCTCCTGCCTTCTAGTCCTTGTCCTTGGACTGCGGTGCTTCATTACTCCCGTATTCTTTTACGGGGCTGTCCAACCCCCAGCTAAGTGCTGAACCTTGGGAGTGACTTCACCACTGAGATAAAAGGGTGTCCGGGGGCCATACTCTTGGGGTTTCTCCAGTCTGTTAGACCAGTAAATCTGGTCTTTTATTGTAAGTTAGAATTTTGTTCTACATCCATCTCCAGCTCTATCCAGGACACTCTGTTGTGATCCCAGTCAGAGCAGTCAGTGGTGGTAGCCAGGCACCATCTAGCTGTACTGGATTCAGTCTGGTGGAGGCCGTGGTAGCTGTGGTCTATTAGTCCTCCGGACTAATCTTTTCCTTGTATCCTGTTCTTTTCATTCTCCCTTGCTCCCGAAGGGGTGAGGCCAGTGGAGTATCTTAGATGGCTGCTCACAGGCTTATAAGACCCCAGACGCCACTCACCAAGGTAGAATGTAGAACACTGTCTTTATAAACTGTGTTATGCCAATTGAACTAGATGTTCCCGGAGACCATGGTAGCCACAGCCCTCTGCTCAGCAATTCAGTCCCCCAGGGAGTTTGGATGTGTCTATGGAGTTTCCATGACCATTCCTTGTACAAGTTGTGCTGGCTTCCCCAGGATAGTGTACTGTCTTACCCTTCACCAAAGTTACCACTTATCTATAGTCTATTTAGTTCCACCACAATCCCTCTCATCCCTCGTAACCAACAAAGATTGTTTCTTCTTGTGTGTAAACTTTTACATGAGGTTTTACAATAGAGGTCTCATACAATATTTGTCCTTTTGTGACTGACTTTCTTCACTCAGCGTAACGTCCTCCAGTTTTATCCATGTTATGAGATGCTTCACAGATTCATCATTATTTATCATTGCATAATACTCCACTGTGTGTATGTACAATAGTTCCTTTATCCATTCATCTGTTGATGGGAATCTAGATGGTTTCCATCTTTTTGCTATTGTGAACAGTGCTGCAATGAATATGGGTGTGCGTATCTCTATTCCCGTGATGATTCTTATTTCTCTAGGATACATTCCTAGGAGGGGAATTGCTGGATCTTATGGTATT